GACCTCATGAGCCCTAGACTTGTCGCTGAAAGCAATGTTATGAGGCCTACGAAGCCGAGGCTACGAAGTACGACGTCGTGTGAACCACGATATGATAGAATATTTTCCCCAATAGGGGGATCGATCTCAACAAATAAGCTTAACAACTCTACTTCAAGTATTGGAAATAAGATAGCATCTAAGAATTCAATAAAAAATTCTAATTTATCATTGATTCCTGATTCACCGAAACTTTTAACGCCAGGCAAAGAGAAATCTAAAACTTTGCCGCAAAATCTTAATGTGCCATCGCCTATTAGAGGCAGCAGTAGCTCTACGTCTATCTTTAGAACGCCTAGAATAACGGTCACTCCTGATAGCCCGAACAAGAGTCCGGGGAAGATATCAGGATTGAATTTCATTCGTCGATCTCGAAGCACTAAGTTGTCCAGAAGTAATTCTCTTTTGAGGAGTATCACGGCGAGGCACATAGAAGAAGGATTAGAAGATAAAATCACAGTTGTAACGGACTTAACTGATGATTATGACAAGTTCGTAGATGACAACGGCGGTGAGACGGAGGTGATTGGTGCCCTCATCAAGAAGAATGAGGCCCAAGTGGCCAACAGCCCTCTAAGTATCCGACGCGGGTATTTAGATGTCGACGATGACGTCGCTGTACATTCGGGTAAGAAATATTATAAATTGTGCAATTCCTTGATACTATACCATTAGGCCCTACAGTTTAGTCTGATAAATTGAATACAATTCGTTTAACAGATTGCACGACCAGAAATATTGAGCCGTGCACCTTTTGACATTGATCGCTTTGTGATATAAATTGAGTGAGATTCCTTTCTAAATTATTAGGGTCAAGTCACGACATTATGAGTTTCTATTTGGTACAAAGCACGATTATGATAAAGTGTAAATAAAAAGCTTACATATAAGTAAATATACAGGGTGTCCCGTAATGTAACGTCAAGCCGGAACTGGGTGTTGAGGCAAGTTGTGCTGGTTATCAGAAAAATATAAAAAAAAATCTATGTGGCATATTTTAAAAATAATAGGCATTTAAAAAAAATCAAAAAATTCTACTCCAGGTGACGGTTCTTTTGCTCGTGTTGCCACAAATCTTCACTTTTTCCAAATTTTTTTTTTGTTATGTGACCCTGAATAATGTTTCTCTAAATTGTTATCAAAATTACAAAACCAGCTGCTCCAGCTTGGATGAAAAAAATACATTATTCCCAAAAAAATTTTCAAAATAAAAATTTTGCCTAGTTTAAACTGACTGTACTGAAAAAAAAAAGTACTACGCGAGTGTGGCAAGTGACGTCATAATTTGGCGCATTTAGTAAGGATTCCAAAATGGTATAACACTTGGTAAATTTTTGCTGTAATTGTCGACAATTTTTGTTTTTTTGGAAATAGTCCCGTTTTTAACTTTATGTTACGGATATCCATAACATCCCTGCTTGGTAAGATGGCCCTCTCCGTCCCGCTCATACCTTTTAAAATGGCTTCTCCACCTCACTTAAGCCAGAAACTTGAATTTTGGGCACATTAGAATAATATTTTTAACCAAGGTAGATAAAGTTAAAAACGGGATTATTTCCAATAAACAAAAATTGTCGACAATTACAGCAAGATTTTACAAAGTGTTATACCATTTTGGAATCCTTACTAAATGCGCCAAATTATGACGTCACTTGCCACACTCGCGTAGTACATTTTTTTTCAGTACAGTCAGTTTAAACTAGGCAAAATTTTTATTTTGATATTTTTTTTGGGAATAATGTATTTTTTTCATCCAAGTTGGAGCAGCTGGTTTTGTAATTTCGATAACAATTTAGAGAAGCATTATTCAGGGTTACATAACAAAAAAAAAATTTGGAAAAAGTGACGATTTGTGGCAACACGAGTAAAAGGACCGTCACCTGGAGTAGAATTTTTTGATTTTTTTTAAATGCCTATTATTTTTAAAATATGCCACATAGATTTTTTTTTATATTTTTCTGATAACCAGCACAACTTGCCTCAACACCCAGTTCCGGCTTGACGTTACATTACGGGACACCCTGTATACAGGGCCTTTTATGAAACAACTGAAAGCCCACTTGCCTAATGTTGGTGACTTGCCAGTTTTGAAGCATTGTGCTCAACTATTCGTATTGTTAGACAATGCTCACTAATTACACGGCTGGGAGCAAACGTTAAACTGGGTCTCCTTTGCAGCCTGTGTTATGTTATTACGAAAACTTCGTTGTCATCTTACCGTGATGTATTTACAAGGTTAACAAATTACAGTAATTTATTAAGTATAAGTAAAGAACCTTCGCATGACAATGAGAATAAGGGTCAAAACGGATCTCTATTGTTTAGGATTGCGAAAGACAATGCATTTCCTAATTCAAATAAATGGACACCACGTGTACATAAATCACATCAAACGTAATCCATGTTTCACATGGAACATCTTGAAATAAACAGTAGCCCAGCTGTGACCTATCTGTGAATCAAAGATGCAACCATATTTTTATATAAATTATACATTTAGGTCTTCTTTTGTCTTTTTCCTGTAACTAAATTAAACAAAATATGCTTTGTCTGTGAAACAGAGACAGTCCGACCGAAAGGTTGCCGTTAAAAGTTATTATGTATTCGGAATGCGTTTCTGCTACTTGAAAGCTTTCGCTCAAAACGTTTCTGCGTTCACTCGCTCGTCTGTTGTCGTATGTAGAAACCAGAGTTAAGTACAATAATATTATTATCATACAGTGGCGTAGTTCCTCGTGGGCGCTTATCGTGCTGTTATCAAAGTAACGCGCGATTGTGTAGAGTTGTATCGCCGGAGCCGGTTTTAAAACAAAAAGTGCACGCTTCTACGAAACAGCTATGTGAATAACTCTTGCAACATCGCTGAGTCAGCTCTCAATTGTAGGTTAGGTGTCTATTCGAGCGCCAACGCGGTTTACGATTTAGCAAATGTGCGAATCCGTTGCGTGTTTAGTGGATTGGAAATTGAAATATTATTTTGAGTTTAAAACTGTTGTGGAAGGGCAAATGACAGGGTGCGCGATAACATAACTGGAAGCAATAACGGTAATGGCTTCGGAACAACATCTGGTGGGTTCGCGCGTTGCGATGGAGTCGTTGACACTTCGATGCATTGTTTTACACTTCTTAGGGTTTTATGGGAGCTGCAAACGTAAGTCTGTATTTTATTTTTAAGTAGGTACAGCACAGATCGTCAGAACAGTCATTCGATATTCAATGTCAGTAAAGAACTATGTACTGTATATTTTGTTAGTGTTTGTTTTTATTATCAGAATATTAGAACTTCCTACTCGTATATCGTTCTAAACACCGCTTAATTATTATTAATGAGCCATAAGTCAACAAATTGGCCATTTATTAACTCACGCACGATACGTAACATCATTCGCTAATTTTACAAGGTATCAGATAGGTAGAACAACACACCTGAAGCGCTTAATATACTGAATTTATAAATTGAGTATAAATTGGGAAAATAATTGAATTACAAATTCGCTATACCAGTCTATTTACTGTGAATAAATAGTTTTGTTTTCTATTAGTTTTTATTCCTCGGACATTATTGTCCATTTAAAGAAACCGAAGTAGGAATTTCATGCGTGGTTGTAACACACAGGCTTGACTCTATGCCTGCGTTTGAATCGAGTTTTGTGCTCCCAAAGAGGCCTTAACCATTGCAACACTCATGATCATGTTGACAATTTCGATTGTCTGTCGACTTTTTGACTTGACGCGCGTGCGCAGCGGTCACGGGCGGCGTGGACGCAACTTCCGCCGGAAACCACGCCATACACGGCGGCTCGATATTACATTACAGACATCTCTACATATTATACGTATATGACTATAGAACAAGTCCACGCATGTAATATGATATTCGTCGTCAACCATACGTTTATGGTTCGCTCGTTTCAATCGCAGTCATTTATAACGAGGTTGCATTTATCAGTGTCGATCGAGAGCCGCGATAAAGAGGACATGAAGACAGATTTGTGGACTGTCTACACGTACTGCTTTGGTAGATATATTTGTCGAGTGTCTATTTTTTAATCACTAGCCTCCGTCACGTGTTGTGTTTGTCCTATGCCATAATAATTAACTTTAAAAAAAAATAAAACCGACTTCAAATGCGTGAACACAAAAAAAACTAAAAATTACAAAAGTTCTACCCTTGGGGGTGAAATATTTTCTTCAAATTCGCATGAAACCACCCTTTTGATAATACCTATTCAACAAAAAAATAATCGTTCGAATTGGTTCATAATCGGCGGAGATATAGCGTATAAAAAAGTTCATCCCCAATTTTCCACCCTTGGGGGTGAGTTATTTTCTTCAAATTCGCATGAAACCACCCTTTTGATAATACCTATTCAACAAAAAAATAATCGTTCAAATTGATTTATAATCGGCGGAGATATTGCGTATAAAAAAGTTCATCCCCAATTTTCCACCCTTGGGGGTTGCTTTTCTATTATTAAATTTAAATGGGACCACCCTTGAGGTATTACCTATACGCCGAAAAAAGATTTGTTCAAATCGGTTCATAATTGGCGGAGTTATCGCGTAACAAACATAGAAAAAAAAAACATACGGGTCGAATTGAGAACCTCCTCCTTTTTTTTGAAGTCGGTTGAAAAGCACGAGCTTTTGATGTCCTATGTTCATACTCTTCACTTTAGCTCTCATAAAATGTGCCTTATAAATCCCATAATTAAACTCCAACGCCTTAAAAACTAGGATCATCTACCAAAAAGCAGTTATTTTTAGTTTCAGATTTATTCCGAATCTCTCGAACCCCTTTTTTGCATTTTCTGGAACCTTATTTGAAAATTATAAATAACTTGAAAAAATCGAACTGCCTAAGGCGGGAATTGAACCCACGACCTTCCGCTTGCCGGGCGACTGCTCTTCCAACTGAGCTACTGGAACCTTATTTTGATAGCATTGTTCTTTGTCCACAGACACATCATACGAGAAAGCATGTCGACGAGGCTCGGCGCCCAGCACGCCCGTGCCAGGCGCTCAGGCCCAGCACAGCCCGTCGCGGCTGGCTTCCTTCTTCTTCTCCAAGAGGTCCTTCAGGAGCAACCCTCTCAAGAGGACCAAGTCGGCCACCAAGATCGAGAGGGAGAGGGCGCTGGCCGCAGTGCCTACGCATCCACCGGGGCATGCTTTGCGAACGTCAAGGTAAGAAAATTTCAATCCTTTTATTATTCCAAGTGACTTTCTGGCATGCTAGTGGCTTTTGTGCGTTGTTGGGATCTAAAAGCATGCTGGCATGCCAACTTAAAGTTTGCTTTATCAATTTCGTTTAAGTTGGTTTTTCAGAATTTGAAAAGTCAGGTCGAAACGATAACTTTTCAAAAAGTTAGATTTTGCGAAGTGAATTATTAATGTTTCCTTTTATTTATTAAGTCCAGCATTATAAAGATCCCTCTCCGAACTCTACCCCTCAATTATGGAACTTCCGCTGTCAATTTTCATTTATAACTTTAAGAATTGCTAAACTAACCATTCAAAGCGGTCATTGTTTGTTAGATAAGTCGAGTAAATAAAAGTTTCAAATTTTCAACTTCGTATTAGCCTGCGTGTGGTGCGATCCGAGTAAGCACCGACATTAACTCCTTGACGATTCGTTTTGAAACTCCCCGGCTTTGACATTTACTGCGCAATGGTGTATCAAATGTACGCGCCCTGGCTAAGCGAGGATCTATAAAATTTATTACGTTCATTTATTGCCTATCGTCCTAATGGGATACGTAAAACACCCTGGCGCATGTTTCTTGATACTCGCGCTTGTTTATGTCATGCGCGGTGTGAATTAAAAGGCGAACACAAACGAAGCTTCGTTAGCAGTAAATAATTCTTTCCTCTGGCTTCGACCATTAAAATGAAAAATTATCAGTTTTCTGCTTACTACTTATGCTTATCCTAAATTTAAATCTAATGTGGTTTTACCTTTCACTCTAAATCCAATAGGCGTAGATAGAGTACGAAAACCATTTTGAACTAGGTGCCTATTCTTCGAAACCTCTATGCATATTTATCTTCGACAATGGAAAATTGTTGATCTCCAGTTAAATTGGCCTTGGCCCTAGTTGTTTTCTATCAGATAGGTAGGTACTATTTTGCAACAGTATTTTATAAACATAGTAGAGTTATACGACCCATTAAGGTAGTTCAATGTCAAATGAAAAAATCCAAATTTTAAGACTTAAAAATAATTTAAAATCGTCAGATAACTTTTGTTGAATTTGAGTTACATTGATAAAATTTATGTACTAACTGACAGTAAATATTTGGTCATTTATACATATATTAAGTAAGTAAATAAAGCGCAGTGCGATTCATAGTTATAAACATGGTTTGGCGAGTACACAATAAATGCTTTACGTTAATTGAAAAAAGTTTATCTTGATCGGACACTAGTGGGTTTTTCTCTAGTCTCATCAAGTTAATTGGGTTTAACTCAAAATTGCCCGAATTTAGTCAGGTAATTTAGCGATAACCAACAAGAGCTGACAGGGTGCGACATGTCGTGACTGCACCACGTTACCGCAACAGGTATAGGTGTTGCGGTATAGGAGTGTCGCCCCGCCCCGTCTGGTGTCGGTCTTTAATTACTTCCCTGTCATCGTTAGCACGAAACGACTTTATCGAAATGCAGTCATTAGCTTCATTAGTAGGTACTCTCAGAACCAAGCAATTAAGTAAAAAATCTTTCATTGTTTGAAAAAGTTATGTAAGTAAGCGAAGGTATTTACTTTTCCTAATGCATAAAATATTCAATCAGTTACGGTGGTGAAGCGTATCAGTAGCGTTAATTAAAGTGATCAACACTTCGTGTTCGTATATTAATACGGTTTATCGTTTTATCAAATGGGCTACATGCATTTGCAATTACTTCATTCTCTTTTTTTTTTCATCTTCAGAAGCTATAAAGTAAAGTCACTGTTAATTTATGTCGTAGCGATGTTATTTAGTTTGTTACGGCCGTTATATTTGAATTGATAGACACTTCTGTTTTATGAATCAATTTAACCCGTAGACCTTGACACGGATTGGTGTAGAGTTACATTTATGTAAATCTCTTTGTTTGAATTGTTACAGATCTCATGAAAGTCTGCTGTCTGCTCATTCACCCGCCGTTTCCACCATGGACCTAGGACCACCAAATCAAGTAAGTATTGTACAAATTAATATTTTATTAAATACATTAATAAAACTTATTTTTTATTTCACCATGCATGATCAGAATCAGAACGCATGCAACCATTAAAATGTGGAAAAAAGCTAAAAAAACGTATGAATGTTAAAGTGCCGATATGTAATTTAATGTTAGCAACCACGAATGATAAAATTTATTCACTTGCGGTTTTCAGACTCAGTTCTAAAAATTTCATAGAACGCTTCACTGTAAGTTAGTGGGCATAATATTCCTCATTCCATACAATAACAGCTTGTTTGCAATCGAGTGCCTATTATTTAGTTGCGTGTTTACGACTACATTTATAAGGATTCATGGGTGTGGACACAAATTGATAGTAGTACAACCGCGGCCTTCAAAAGAGTCAAATGTATTAAGCAAATGGTCAAGGTTATTTTGATGGCAATAGGTAAAGAATAAAGAATCAATTTAGCCAATTCCTATTAAAATACGAAGAAGGATATTAGCACCTTCTCAGTAATGAGTGTGTGTATTTCTTTACATGATGAAAATAATATTACACCGAGAAATGCCAAATAAACCCAGCGTATGCAACACCTGTTGTAAAAACATGAAATCGATTAAAAAATCACATGAAACGCATTTATGATAACAACACGAGATTTGGTTTCGTGCCATGTCCTGATAAATTTTGATAATGAAATAGGTACTGGGTACCTACTATAGTTTATTTAGTTCAGTTTTTGAAGTAAAAACTTAACTAATATGTATATTTTTGTAAATTCCAGGTAGAAATTCGAGCCCTCCACTCATCAGTGCTGGGCAGGCCACACTGTTTCGCGCTGAGCGCAGAGAACAGAGCGCCCAGATACTTCGCCTGTGCATCGCGAAAGGAGAGAGACCGTTGGATATACAGGTAATTGTATATAATTTATTGTTGATATTATTATACAGAGTGTACATACGCTGTGGGTATGTAATTCATTGAAAATAATGAAACTGTTTGCATAGTTGCAAGGTCACTATCATCACGTAACGGCGCAATTAATCGCAGGTGATCGAATATCTTTTACAACAAACCAATGATAGGTATGTTTTAAGGGACTACAGTCATACACCTCTGGGACTCTACTCGAATGCAAAACTTTTCACGTCCATCTCTATAAAACATGCTTGAACTTTCTTCAAAAAGTTTGACGTTTAAAACATAGTGTACGAGTAGATCCTTCTCGTGTTTAGGATTAGAACGTTATATCTTTGTCATCAAAAATCTTTGAGCTAATAAATAAATAAATAAATTCAATGGAGTTAGATACATCGACGTTAGCTAGTTCGAAAGGTAGGTAAGGTTCATGGAACCCGTTAATCTCATATACCTATTTATTATTATTTTTTTGTTTCCCAGTTTGCGACAAGCAGCGCGACCTGACGAGATCCGAACGCGCCGGTGCGAGCGGTCCGTAAAACTGTGGCTGCTGGAGGCCAAGTCCATTCCGCCTAAGAAGAGATACTATTGCGAAATATTGCTGGACGACACCTTGTATGCAAGGTAAGTTATATACTTATTGGGCTGCTGTAGATTTTTATTGGATTTTGGTCGGCCAGATTAAAGACGACCTAAAGATCTCTTTCACAATAAATAACTTCATTAATAAACATTAACATACTTATTTATATTTCCAATTCCAATAAACAAAACCTTTTAAGATAGTACCTAATCGATATTTACTGCCTACACGCCAACATTAATTAAATCCGAGTTTTATGAAATTTTTGCCTACACCATGCCGTTTTTTGCTTAATATTTTTTTTCGGTATTTTACGGCTTCAACAACTCTATCAGATGTTGATGCGGAAAAAGCCCAAGTTGCTTTTTTGTCTTATTAAATAAATTAAAAACGTTCTGTCCACAGGTCCTCATCAAAGCTAAAAACCGAGTTGTGCTTCTGGGGCGAGGTGTACGAGTTCAGCGGGCTGCCGGCCACGCGCGCCATACACGTCAACGTGTATCGCGAGCCTGAACGGCGCGCGCGCAAGCGGGACAAACACGCCCTAGTCGGTGAGTAGTTACATCACTATATATTCTGGGGCAGGTGTACGAGGCCAGCGGGCTGCCGCCAGCGAATCATGAACTACTGAAAATGCACATCATCATCATCAGGTCATTTAGTCACTACAGGAGGATGATGATAATTTACCAGAGACAAATTGAGTACCCACCCGGCCTATGAGGATGACCCTTTCTAATTTACTAGAAGCAAATGGAGTATTGAATTGTAGGAACATCATATAGTCGTGGTCGTGGTCATCATCGTGATTCACAATGATGACCACGACTACTCTGACAAGAGTGTACCGAAGAATAAATGGAGTATTTGGCGTACATGACTTGTGGGGGCTTGATGTTAAAATGTTTCTCCTTTTTAATTAAAAATCTTGAAAAAATCGAACTGCCAAAGGCTGGAATCGATCCTTAGTTCGAAATTTAGTTTGAGAAGCGCCTCTGATCGCTAAGTTTTAATATTTATCCTTTATTCGTCTCTTACGAAATTCAAAAGAAGAGTGGGGGCACTCTTCATCTTAGTAACATACTTATGTTATTTACATTTGTCTTTACAGGTACAGTCCGTATCCCGGTCGACGACGTATCGTCGCGATACCTCAACGAACGGTGGTACCCTCTGTCCGAGGGCGACAAGCCTCAGTCCCCGGGAGGCCGCGCGCCGCCGCCGCCCGCGCCCGCGCTCCGTATCAAGTGCCGCTACCAGAGCGTCGATGTGTTGCCACTGGATAACTACGCGAGGTTCCTGGACTACCTGAAGAGGAACTACAGGAGGCTGTGCGAGTACCTCGAGCCTGTCATTGGTAAGTTTCCACTGAAATTGTTTAGGGATTTAAACGGTAGGAACTACCGGAGGCTGTGCGAGTACCTCGAGCCTGTCATTGGTAAGTTTCCACTGAAATTGTTTAGGGATTTAAACGGTAGTATACTCTATTCGAGGGCGACAAACCACAGTCCCCGCGCCCGCGCTCCGCATCAAGTGCCGCTACCAGAGCGTCGATGTGCTGCCGCTGGATAACTACGCGAGGTTCCTGGACTACCTGAAGAGGAACTACAGGAGGCTGTGCGAGTACCTTGAGCCTGTCATTGGTAAGTTTCCACTGAAATTGTTTAGGGATTTAAACGGTAGTATACTCTATCCGTAAGAGGCGACTTAGGGTCCACACATCAAACAGAGAACGGGCAGCAGCGCTCTCTGAAAAACATCAATCTTTTAAACTGCGATCTCCAACCCGCCTGCCAAGCGTGGGGATTATGGCAAAACCCTCCACTATAGTGGAGGAGGCTCATAGTCCAGCAGTGGACTGTAAAGGGCTGTTGATGATGATACTCTATCCGAGGGCGACAAACCGCAGTCCTCGCGCCCGCGCTCCGCATCAAGTGCCGCTATCAGAGCGTCGATGTGCTGCCGCTGGACAACTACGCGAGGTTCCTGGATTACCTGAAGAGGAACTACCGGAGGCTGTGCGAGTACCTCGAGCCTGTCATTGGTGAGCTATAACTACGTTTATTTGAGGGGTTTACAACGGTGGTAGCCTCTGTCTAAGGGTGACAAACCGCAGTCCCCGCGCCCGCGCTCCGCATCAAGTGCCGCTACCAGAGCGTCGATGTGCTGCCGCTGGATAACTACGCGAGGTTCCTGGACTACCTGAAGAGGAACTACAGGAGGCTGTGCGAGTACCTCGAGCCTGTCATTGGTAAGTTTCTACTGCATTTACTTAGCTGGAGAAGTTCAAACGATAGTATACTCTGTCCGAGGGCGACAAGCCTCAGTCCCTCGACGCCCGCGCCCGCGCTCCGCATCAAGTGCCGCTACCAGAGCGTCGATGTGTTGCCACTGGATAACTACGCGAGGTTCCTGGACTACCTGAAGAGGAACTACAGGAGGCTGTGCGAGTACCTCGAGCCTGTCATTGGTAAGTTATAGCTATAACTACGTTTATTTGAGGGGTTTACAACGGCGGTAGCCTCTGTATAAGGGCGACAAACCGCAGTGACCGCGCCCGCGCTCCGCATCAAGTGCCGATACCAGAGCGTCGATGTGCTGCCGCTGGATAACTACGCGAGGTTCCTGGACTACCTGAAGAGGAACTACCGGAGGCTGTGCGAGTACCTCGAGCCTGTCATTGGTGAGTTATAACTACGTTTATTTGAGGGCTTTACAACGGTGGTAGCCTCTGTCTTAGGGCGACAAACCACAGTCCCCGCGCTCCGCATCAAGTGCCGCTACCAGAGCGTTGATGTGCTGCCGCTGGATAACTACGCGAGGTTCCTGGACTACCTGAAGAGGAACTACAGGAGGCTGTGCGAGTACCTCGAGCCTGTCATTGGTGAGTTATAACTACGTTTATTTGAGGGCTTTACAACGGTGGTAGCCTCTGTCTTAGGGCGACAAACCACAGTCCCCGCGCTCCGCATCAAGTGCCGCTACCAGAGCGTCGATGTGCTGCCGCTGGATAACTACGCGAGGTTCCTGGATTACCTGAAGAGGAACTACAGGAAGCTGTGCGAGTATCTGGAGCCTGTCATTGGTGAGTTATAACTACGTTTATTTAAGGGGTTTACAATGGTGGTAACCTCTGGAGACCTATTGATTAGTATAGCAAAAAGTGTACTACAAATCTCTTTACGGTAAGCAAGTAACTTTTTTCGCGGTGATAGTGGTGGATAAGTCAGGAGGACTGTTTAACTAAACTAAGTAATCCTTTTCAGTAGAGCCACTTACTTAACATCACTAATAAGTAAGTGGCAAGAAATAATACTAATTATGTCACGCGTTAACCAAAACTGAAAATGGTTTTAAAGATTTCTAATTACTCTTGTTGTTAGGTATCCCCTACCATCAAATACTATATTTAGGGGGTATATTTTCTAATGGGTTTACTAATAAAGTATGTTTTGTTATCTACAGGTGTCAAAGCCAAAGAAGACATAGGCTGTGCCCTGGTGCTATGCATGGCGGGCGCGGGCCTGGCTCCTCGGTACTTGGCCGACGTGGTGGCACTCGACGTGCGTCGAACTGGCGACCACTCGCTCACCTTCCGAGGCAACTCACTCGCTACTAAGAGCATGGAGGCTTACTTGAAGCTCGTGGGAGATCAGTACCTGCAGGTAATAATAACAATTCGATTAAGTGACTAATATTGGCATTATTGTGGAAAGATCATTTAAAATTACAGGCATAGCGCGTAATTGAGTGGGCTGTTGCGGTATAAGACTGAGTCCGCACTATGGTTTTTTCCCGCAAGCGGTAAACCGCCAAACAGCAAAACCGCCCTAAACGTATACGCGGGAAAAAGCCACAGTGCGGACGCTTGCATTAGTTTTACTTGGTTATAAAATCACGCGGTTAAAAACCTCACGTCCTCCCGTTCCAGAACAGGATCACTACCACAGGAACCAACTCAGTCATGCGCTACCTGTATCTATCTGTAATGTATGGGGATACCAGCTATTTCAATCACACAATAGAAACAAAAGAATATTGAAAACAAATGAAATATTATCTTCCAGGACACACTAGGCGAAGCGGTAGCGGCAGCGGCCGGGCCGGGCGCGGCGGACTGCGAGGTGGATCCTCTACGCGCCGGCGGTGGAGCAGCGTTGCGGCGCCAACAGTCAGCCTTGCGGGATGCCGTGTCGCTGGCCTGGCGTGCTATATCTGCTTCTGCGCCTACATTCCCACCGCCACTAAGGGACTGCTTCGCTACCTTCCGCGAGAGGTAAATATACTTTCATCAACTATGAGGTAGACCTAATAAACGTGGATCTGTGGTACCAGCAGTCGTCCCTGGGCGACACCTTGTCCATTAATATTCGTTGCGGCTTCGAAGACAGCTAGAAATCCTTCGGGACTACTCAATGTTGGATTTAATTGGCAGCTAAACTGTAGATCTTGCCTATACGATAGGAGTTGGAAGTTGCAATGGTGGGAACGAGAAGTGATATTAGTCCCGTTTCTTAAACACGTTTCACTCAAAATTATTGATAGAAAAGACGGGGTTCATTATTTTACAATTTTCTGTTTTTGCAACAGGTTAACATCCATGGGACGAGAAGACATCTCCGATAATTTGATCAGTGCATCCATCTTCCTTCGATTCCTGTGTCCCGCTATTCTTTCACCCAGTCTATTTGGAATCACGCACGGTAAGTTTAAAATATTTATTTAAATTATATAATAAACAATGAAAATTAAATTAAAGCAATAAAAGAATTAAACAAAGCTCTCAATAAACATCCAGATGATTTCCAAGGCTCCAAAGACGTATTACGTAGACGTATGTGTATTGCGTTAAAACAATTTCATTACCCTTTCAGAGTACCCGAACGAGCGCGCTGCTCGCAACTTGACTCTTGTCGCGAAGACGCTGCAGACGCTGGCCAACTTCACGCGCTTCCAGGGCAAAGAGGCCTTCATGGAGTTCCTCAACGATTTCCTGGAGCAGGAGGCGCCTAACATGAAGGCGTTCCTTAGAACTATCTCGGTAAGTACTTTTTTACCGCCACTGTTCGGTAAATGATACATCACACCTTCGCTGTATTCGTGATGCAACCGCTTTTATGGATAAAATTATTTTTCAATTTACAACTTGTGTCGAATTTGCTACGGGTAGGTAAATGCTGTTACTTATTTCGCAGCATCTGCTTGTCATTAATGATATAGCATTACCAGACAGATGTTCCAGCAAAATTGTGGTCACATTTTATTCGTAATGCATGTCTGCGGTCATGTAATCACTTGTAAGCGCTCGAGTAATAATTTTGCACCTGTTCCTTGTTCTTGCAAGTCGTGAAAACATGTTAATGTCTTTATCGTGTTTATATTTTTTATCATTCGTCGTAATCTCTGCGAGTACATTTATAAATTAATATTAAAGTAAATATTTTATACTGAGATATAAAGGGTATCTTTTCCCCATGGGTACGTTTCATTTAACCAGTGTGGTCCCTACCTTCGGTCGTAAACGAAGTAAAACTTACGAATATTCTGTTTGTTCTTTCACAGTCGCGCCCCCAAGACCAACCTCAGATGCAGATGCAGCAGTCCTATAGCACGCAACAGCAGCAAGAAGGCAGCAACCGCAACTCGTCTGCTTCGCAAGGCTCCGAGGGCTCTCGAAGCGAGGCGGCGGTGGAGGCCGACCCTGAGTGGGCGCCGCACGTGGACCTCGGCAAGCAGCTGGCGACGCTACACGGGCTGCTCGTGGATAGTCTGCCGAAGCTACCTGCAGCTAGGATGCAGGTATGGGACAGAAAAATTCACTGTAATATGGGTCTCATCAAGGTATGAGTAGTGTGACATTACTGGATGTTGAAACTGATCCTGATGAAGCTGTCTGCGTCCAGGATATCATGTTAGCAGTAGGCGTAGTTCAATTTCTTTCGGAAATTTATTCCGAAATTTCTCGTGCGGTGATGTTGTGATAATCAGACTGATCCAAATCATTGTATATTATGAATTCAAGCTCACTTTACTTCTCACTTACTTAGGTAGTATTTTTTGCTTATACTTTACCTTTTTGTTTCAGGAGCTGGATCCATTGTCTGATATCTTAGACGAACTTAGCAAGAGGTTAGTGAGCAACGATATTGGACCTATGCCTCAGCACGCAGACAATATCTTTAGGTAAACATAATTTTAATTTAGTTTACTTTCCCGATAACAAAATATTTCACCATAATCATGGTCTCATTTGTTACCAACAAAAAAAGAAATTGATAACTATTTTTGTTTTTAGGTTCAATGATCCTACCTGCAATTCGCCAACGAAGCAAAACAACGCCGATCCTGTAACGAATGGAGCAATGAACAGCAACTTTGCTCACAGTTCCCCAATCATGAACAAGAATGGCGTCCAGTTCAACGTCAGCCCTTCAAAGTCAAATGCCGAAGACTCCAAGTACAAAGGCTCTTATGGCAGTGTTGCCAAATCGCCCAGCTTCAATCTGCGCTCAGCCACGCTCCCAAGAAATGGATACGGCTCGAACCCAGTCAATCAAAATGTCAACCCAGACAGATATAGCTCACAGTACAATAATCAAGAACATTGCGTAAACCTAAAAGTAGTACAGATCGGCTTTGGTTCGGACCAATATCCGAAAGGTATCAGCAATGGAGTAAACGAAAGTCTGGAAAGAAGATTCCAAGATAGGTACAAACCCAATAACTACAATCAACAAACGCACTACCACAACTCAAATTACAACAGTACAGAGAGATCTCCTAGTAGCGACAGCATTAACCATAACTATTGTTCAAATGATATGCAAAACATCATGAAGGAAACTGCAACACTTGAGGAACTGTCCGACCTCCTGAAATACGCTGATGATTCTGATATTGTTGAAGACAAACTCATAATGAACAAAAAGAACTTGTCTCAGTCGAAATCAGCAAACAATAACATTATAAACGGAAACAAAACTAACTACGCAAATAATGGTTCGAACGTATCCATCAGTGGATTGTCAAATGTTGCAAGTTCCGGGTACCAAAGCATCGCTACATACAGCCAAAGTTCTAGTCCCATCGAAAACACAAATCATCTGCATCAGCCATACGAAAATGGCGGTCAACCGATGAGCCGCTACTCGCAGCTAAATTACCAAAAACAGAGAGATAAACAGTATTACGATAGCAAAAATGAAAAATTCTATCCAAAGAGTCCAGTGCAACAGAAAATTGAATACGATATTCAGAAATATGGCATACAGAATTTTACTACAGCTGAAAATACGCAAACAAACACGAACGTTAATTCAAAGATAGGTCCTTTAGTATTCACAAATCCCGTCTACAACATGGAAGACAGTCGTACACCTCAAGAGAAGAAAAAGAATAATGAAAACAGAAATTCAAAGCGTTGTCCTTGTGGCTCATCCAGTTCATCCATAGATGAGGAGGGTTTGAGCACAGACAACGTAGAGACAAACTCAGAAGAGGGTTCTACAAATTTTAACGACGACACAAGAAACTATGACCAACAAAACCGTAATAATACCCACCGAAAACTTACCAGAGATAATTGTAATTATGATGATATGTATCAGATGAGTAATCATAGTCATTCTCCAAGGATGAGGGATGATGAATCGTCAAGCAATTCGCCGAGCTTGAGAAAAAGCAGTAAGACGCGAATGCCCAGGACAAATCCTATGCTTTCATACTCCACTAATCAAAATCAGCTGAACTTGAAGCATTTCGGTCAAAGGGGGGAGTCGTTGTACGAAAGTAAGCCTCATCACATTTCGACTGACTCTGGTTACCCGATGAGTCGATCTGATTCCAACGTGGAAGAAGTCAACAAAGAAATGTACAGGTTACAGATATCCCGAAGTCAGAAGGCGCTATTCAATATGGAGAATAAGAATAATTCTCCAGAAAAGTACAATGTGACGGAAAATTCGATTCCCGAGACGAATTATCCTCTGGACAGGACGTACTCCGGGGCGAAGGTGTCAAGTAGTAGGGTGAATGAGGATTTGGAGAGGCATCAAGAGTATTATGGCGTTCGGGATGGAAGACGTGAGTCTCCTCAGGGAGTGTTTAGTCGCGAGTCTCAGTCGAGTGAGGCGAGTGAACGAGCGCCGTTGAGAGAGAGGGAGGTGGCCGGCCGCGACAAACTACAAAGGCGGCTGAGCTTGGAATCCGCCCGCGAGCTCACAGATAGTTCCGATGAGGTGGAAGACACACTGTACAGTACAACGGGAAGAAGACGCACGTCAAAGCATCACAGGACGATTGAACAGGTGTGTAAATTAGGAATGTTGACTGAAACTAAGTTTAAATCCAGTAGCAAGGTAACCAATGAGTTTACGCAAGAATTTATAAAAATACATTGTTGTGTTTCAGTATGAACGAGAAATCGAGAGGCTAAAGTGTTCAGTAGAGCTACTTCGTGGAAGATTACCGGCGGAGCCTGGTCAGGATCACACAGATGCAAAGATGAAGGCTATAATTTCAAGGTAAAATAAAAAGATAACACAACTAAGTAATACATAAATTTATATTCAAGAATTCAAGTCAGTGGTTAACAATATTTTCCACTATTTCAGGTTGATCTGCGTAGAAGAGGAACTGCGACGGGAGCAACGCAAAATGGCCGCCGCTCTGTCACACAAGCAACGAGTAATCGAGGCTCAAGAACACCGTATTGCAGCCTTAGACGAGGCCAACACCAGGCTACTGTCGGCTCTGGTACATTTGCAACAAAGAGCCCCGCACCCCGCGCCCCCGCATACCCCCTCGTCGAACCACACGCAACATTCACACCAAGAACTACAGATATAAGTCTGATTTTTGCATACGATTGAGCAATCGACCAAACGAAATAGAAGACCTAGTTGGTCAGGTAACAGGTTACGTAGTCTTTTCTCGTTGAAACCGCATGATGCCTTGGGTCTCAGAGTTTATTGATATGCATGCAGGTATGCATCATTAAACTTGTTACATACCTTTAAAATAAAGGAAGATCAGCGATACGGAACCGTGACAATAGCCGTGTTGTATTTGAGCCTTACACGTCACTGTGATGTATCAGACTGCATACATACCTAAATACAAAAGGTATTGGCTCTTTAAATCGTTGTGAATATGGTGTTCATTGTCGAGCTATGCAAATACATAATTATAAACTGTCTACTTCGTGTGTTGACTTAGCTATCAACTTCAAAGGCTATTTTATTCTTATACATATAATCTTATTTACTGCTCTCTTAGAACTATCGATTTAAATAGAGCTGAAGCACAAATCGTTTAACTAATGTATTGTATAGAATCGTATCTACTTTCTTGTTAATTGATATAATGAATTTGATGTTTTATTATTATTTTCATTCGCAATGCACAATAATTTATCGATCGAAGCACTATGCTTATGACGTTGTAATATAAATTTATGCATTTTCTATCTCTCTTATTGCAATATTACGGTTATTTTATTAAGAGGCAAATATTTATTATGATAAAAGTTTTCTAACAAACCTTGTATGTAGATCACATTTGTTCGTTTTGCCATTTATCTTTAACTTTGTTATATTGTTTCTTTAGTTTTAAATGGAGATGCTTTAATGACAGTAACATTTCGTTATGTATCAGTATTCTTGATTAAACTGGATAGTGTTCGCGTCAGATCGCGTCGGCAAAGTTTGTTTTCTGTAATGATACCAAAGACGATTGAATATCCCTTAGTGTAGAGTTGTAGTGGACTCTACGAACCACTGCTCTATAGCACTAGAGTTGTAATAAAGTAAAACGTTATAGATTTTATAATAATAGTGTAAGACTTGTATAAAATAATACTAGGCGCTACGTTAAGTCAATGTGGTATGAAATTAAAAAATATTTTGAATACCTGTGGAGTATTATATGGATTAACGGTAGTAATGTAAAAGTCGTTAACAACCCAATTGGACACTGGCTGGACATTTGTTGAACAAATCGAAATCATTTATCATCGATGTAATATGGTTTGCGAATTGCAATTTCACATTATATTCTGAAACTGCTAAATTTCAGTGAATCTAATTTTAAGCCATAAATTTATGTAAATATACCTGTGTAGGTATATTATGTTATTCTTATCACATTAAATTATGGATTACGTATTCACGACTTTCATTTGTATCAAATTAATTATAACCCTAATAGGAACAATGACACTAAAACAAAACATTATCTAAGATTGAAACTTTAATTGAAAACAAAAAGACATACACAGACAATACATTTTCATTCTTGAGGTTCGATTCCAGCTGGCAAACAACAATACCTTTTTCTGGCCAAATTAAATTTGCGTTCTGCTGTTTCTTTGGTACTGTACGGGTGCATAATTTGCAAGTCTTCTATGCGTCCGAATAAATATGAAAAATATATCTCACGGAACTTTTTGTCGGGGAACTGAGCTTGGTACATGGTAGGCCACATCAAATTATTTACTCTTGCTAGCGATCTAAATAACGCTAATCTGTATTTGTACGTGTACTTTTTGAATTTCTCATTTAAATCGAGTTTGTGCACCCAGGTCGTGTGTCCGGAATATGTCGGGTCTTTAGGCGGAGATACATGGCCGTAGCCCTTTGAGTCCAGCAACTGGAACATCTGCCAGTACATTGTGCTCTTGCGTATCATTTCTGACTTTTGACTTACAGTGTACGGGCCGTTTATTCGTTGCCGCATCCATTCTTTTAACTCTGGCACTAGATGAATATCTGGCAGCCGCGCTGCTACATTCACGCGCCTCATCAGCCTCAGAGCACATTTCAAATAATCTTCGGGTTTAGGGTTTTGACCCAAACATGTTGTTGAGGAACGTTTAGTTTTTTTCTTCTTTTTATCTTTCTTATCTTTAACTGTGCCATCATCCACATGTAGCATGCTGTCAGTGTCCCATAACTTTTTGAATTCCCTTTCAACGTGCAACCGCTTTTGGTCTAAGTCGTATATCGTTTCGTAATTGAATTTGAAGGGCATGTGTTTTGTTGGCTTTTGGAAAAACTGTAAATCATCGATCGGGAATGTGCCTTCATTTCCATAGTCGTAAAAGTGCTCGCAATAACATTTGCTACCTTTTACATACTCGAAAACTTGGTCTTGCCATTTCTTTACGCAATCGCAAGGATCGGGTTTCGGCGGCGGCGGTCTGGCGCGGAAACCGCAGTGAATGTTGATGTATTCGCCGTTCAAGTATCTGTACCCTCCATGTATGAGTTCGCCAATCGGGGGCAATATAGACACACTGCCAAGTACAAACACTGACTTGCCTAGTACTTGATAGACACCAGTGATCACATACTGCGAGTTCCACATGCCAGTGCTAGGAGCTACAGGTTTTCTTCGGCGCACGGACTTTTTGCGATTAGTCACACTGATGCCGTAAGTCTTTTTTACTTCGGTGACACATAGCTTTGAACCTCTCATTCGGCGATGGCTCGTTCTAGTCACTGTTTTCATTGCGAGAGTGGTGATGGATGAGTAGGGTTCAATATTCATGACCCCAGCAAGTTTGTCGCAGTATGATCGTGGCAACCTTTTCTTCGGAGGCGGTGGTGGTGGCGGGGGTGGAGGCGGCTTCGGGATCGGTGGTTCTTCCTCATAAGGTTCGTTCAGGTCGTCCAAATTTGGTAAAGGCGCCGGGCGAGGTCGCTTCTTCGTGGGGGGCTCATACAAAACTGCAATCATCTTTTGCAAATATGGCGAGGCTAGTGGTGGTTCCGGTTTAGGTTTGGGTTTTGGAGCTTTCGGTTTCTCTTGTTGGTCAGGACGAAATCTTTCTTTAAGCAAAGTGATCAAATTGTCAAGCCCTAAATACAGGATACCTGACAGCATAAGCCTGGCGTTTAAACAGTAAGAGCCTCGTTTACCGTCGATGTTGTGGCCATACGTCATCGCAAACAGCTGGGCGAGCATGACTTTAGGATCGTCACGGCCTAAATAGAGGCAATTCATAAGGTCAATGTTATTGGGTCGAGGGTACAGGCCCAACTCACGCATCAATTTAGCTGTTCGTACAGGACGTCCTTCTAATAGATCTTGATAGATTGAAAACTCTAAGGCGTCTAAAGCTGTTCTTTGAGGTACACTAAGAGCCTGGTACCAGATGGGGCCGATGGACTTTTTGATGTTGTTAAATACAATTTTGTCCTTCTGTTTTCGGTATTCTTTGAGCTCTTCCATGAATATTTGTCGCTCGCGCATCTTGCCCGCGTATACGATCTGCATGCGGCGGTTGGCGCGCTCCTCATGGCTGGTCTCAGGGCCATATTTATGAACCATTATTGCACGTGAACTAAAAACCTCTTGATGATAGCAAGGAAATAATCACAAACGCATACAATTTGATGAAACTTCGATAAACTGCAATTTAGAAAAAAAAATATTTACTCAGTAAAAAGTCAACCAGACATCAATTTTTATATTTTTTATGTTTAAATTATTTCTTTTCAATTTTCAAAAAGGTCTTACTTCATAAAATGACTAAACTCTACAATTTACAGAGTGCACTGACATCTATCGCCAAGTAATTGTATGAAATGTAGAGCACACTCCGTCTCTACATAAAAAAAAATGTATTATATAGCCTAGTAATAAATATAACATTGTTGACATTAGTAAAATTTCTGTAAAATCTTATTTATGGGTATAAATAAAATAAACTAAGCAAATATTTCAAGGAAGTAAGATTTGCTAATAACACTATTTACAGAGTAACTACCGCCATCTATGTACGAGTAGCCATACTAGCCACTTTATGAACCAAATTAACATCATTGTTTTTCAGTGAGAACAAAGTATTTCATGAAGTATTTGTATTCTTTAGTGTAAAACGCAGTGGTTAGCTATTATTTTATTACTACCTACCTTTACAATGCTTATTGCATAACTTGATCTTTCCTTAACGCATAGCAATCCCGAATTACTACGGTAACAAAGTTCTAACTAGGTAACGTTCTTTTGATTGATGTGTTTACTGCACTAATATTTTTCATTAAAATCGACTGATTCAAATTGGAATACCAAAAAAGCGCTTACATTATTCAACAGCTACAATTGAATTATTCAGACAATATTTCCAAACAGTTACCAATCCAGAATCCCGTAGTATTCCAAAATAATGTATTATTTCCCCAAAATTAGCGTATAACGGTGTATGTTTTGTTAGTCATGCGCACAGTGACGCGCTCCCGATCAGCTGGCAAAACTCGGCCGGTCGAAGACCTGGGGTGAACGCTCTCGTCTATCACCTGAGCAAGTTATGCTGCTCATTCATACGCTCTGGCGAATCGATCTCAATAAATTTAAAACACATTTCCGGGAATCATTCAGCGTGGACCAGCTAAATGTTAATGCTAAGTCGATCGTGTGAGCGGTGACGATGAATGGAGATGGACGTAACTGTACGCGATCGTTAGGGGCGATTGAACCGTTGGTTTAAAGGACATATTATATGGTTTGTTAAGTTAAGGTAACATATAGGTAAGTTACAAAAATAACAATAAGTAATTAAATATTTTTTATGGAATGATGGATTGACTTATTCTCGTAGTTATATTAAATTTATCTGCATAATCTGCATTAACAAGACAGTAAGTGAATAAGTAATGACCAAAAAACTATGTAATATCGCTGTTTTACTAACAATAAAAAGGCATTATTTCTAGCAACAGAATGTTTACCAAGTTTTCCAAATAACACCAATAAAAATTATAATTACTTAGTTCCTACTTTACAGACTCTACATATATTTGGATAATGACTACTATAAAACATTTAAACAAAAATGAAGCTTTGTTTGGTTTGTAAATGCGCCTACATTGTATGTACAGTGATTCACTGGGTTCAAGTAGGTGTCAACAAGCCAGCGCTCCCGAAGCCCAAAGACTCTACATTCCACAAACGCGCATGACTCATTAAGTCACATTAAATTCAATTAAACAGATTCTTGTATTGGGTTATTGTTGAGATTATCAAGCCTGTTATGTTTTGGATTTGAACACCACTAACTTTTTGTAAATACTCTAAGGGTGGGTTGCACCATCTTACTTTCACTTTGACAAACGTCAAAAATCTGTCAAACTCCATACAAAAAACACCGGTTATCGTCATAGTTTCCGTCAAAGTTAGGTGGTGCAACTCAGCCTAACATTTTTAATACATGAGTGTCAACAAAATATTTTTTCTTCATAACTAAGTACGTACTACTTTAGCAGTACTATTGTTACAATACCACAAACAATTCTATTTGTACCGAAAATTAGCAGAACGTAAATTGACTAATTTACTGTCGTGCTATCAAATAAAATGTTATTTCTACAGGATTTTAGAAACATTTGAACGAGGTATAAATCCATACAGCTTTAACTACACTTGTTATAAAATATAAACATTTAAAGGTTCATACACAGGTTCGTTATTATTTTATAAAATTGTTGTGATCAAATTGTATCAATTTAACAGGTTTCTAGATGTAGCCTCTTACCGCCTAAAGAAATAAATCTATACATATACAGGGTGTTAGGTAAATGGGTATATGAGCGGACACTAGCCCATGTTAACATGGCCATATAAATGGTATGGTGAAGTCAGAAATTTGATATCATCATTTTTTTAATTTTAATTTCCATACTAAATAAATGTTATAAAATCCGATTTGTATGAAATTTAAAATAATTAAAATGAAGATATCAATTTTCTGACTTCACTATACCATTTATATGCCCACTAGCTTTCCGCCCGCGGCTTCGCCCGCGTGGAATTTTGTCTGTCACAGAAAAACTTTATCGCGCGCGTCCCTGTTTCAAAAACCGGGATAAAAACTATCCTATGTTCTTTCCCGGGACTCAAACTATCTCTATGCCTAATTTCATCAAAATCGGTTGCGAGGATTAAGCGGGAAAGCGTAACAGACAGACAGACAGACAGACAGACAGACAGACAGACAGACAGAGTTACTTTCGCATTTATAATATTAGTTGGGATGTTAACATGGGCTAGTGTCGGCTCATATACCCATTTACCTAACACCCTGTATAGGTAGATATAGGTATACTGCCAATTTTAAATTCTATTCAAGATACCATCACACTTTCCCAATCAATGCAAATGTACAATCTTAATTAGCGATTACTAATTATAGCTAGGAGAGGATTACTGCGTTGCATTTCCGCTGGCTAACTTACAGCACCCATTCGAATCTAGACTTTCTTAGTTCCGCCGAACGTGAGATGTGTATCTACAGACCGCCTAGCTCAGAGGTGCCAAACCTATGGATATAAAGAACTTGGTCTTCTTCAAAAAGGCTACTTAAACAATTATGAATCTCATCATAGTGAATTTCGTCTATAAAATGACGTAGTGAGATTACAATATAACCTTACCTTACCCACTATTCGTTTACCATCTCACGCTTTATAATATAGGTAAACTGACGAAGTTCACAAATCACAATTTCACGTCGACATATCCATATCAGTTCTGAGCCATGTTTAAAAGCTGTTTTAGAGAGCACGAATCTTCACGCTCGCGGATTTGACGAATTCCAGCCTCCCAAACAAGTCGGTTCTTTCCGAAAAGTCATCGTTACCATAGACTTATTATAACTAAATATTAGCATATCTACAAATTATAATAAACAAACGATAATTATTCCAAACGAATGATAGACTAGCCTTAATTCGTGTCCGTGTTGCGTGATGTTTCTTGTAGATTGACTTTCTAGAATATAAAAAAAATGAAATTATTGTTGAACCTTTTTTTGTGCATAATGAATCGATAATTATACATTTCATATTGAATCGATGTTAGATTGCTTGATAGGAATTTAAATTAGAGAATGCCATATTTCATTTAGGTCAGAATACCCGGGGGCATGCGGTTAGGCAGGCAGTGTGGTTGTTGGTAAAGGATATTGCGCTGATTTGAATTTTGTAAGTATCCTACCTAAAAATTGCCTCTGAGTTAAATTTAATCATAAAGAACCTACGTAACCTTACTAACTTTCAACTTTACTAAACAGCAGCATGATCGTAACGGTTCGTTCGATTGTTTCAGCCAAATGACGTCCACAGCTGGATAAGCCTTCTATTCTCCAAGGTGTTATAGTTAACACAAATTTTTAGGTACACATACATATATACAGTGAAGTGTTGTTGTTGTGAATAAATAAATAAATAAATAAATATTATACCTATTTATGACTATTGTAAAAGCTTCTAAGGCTCCCTATCCCTGGCCTAACTCATGAGCGTTCACTTTCCACGTGCAAGGAAGTATCTGCAGCCACTTTCACTCCATTCAAGATCACCGTTCCGCCTCGCGCTGCGCCGGCGCAGACAATCGCTGAACCTATTGTCTGTTGATACGATTGCAATTTCGTTATTATTGCTTTATTGGATGAATGGGAAAATCTTTGTCTCAGATCATCATTTCCGTTTAGAGCGTGACGCTCGCTTTGCTTGTCATTGCTTGTTATGCATGTTATTTTTCATTTATTCGTGTATTTGATATAAATGTCGTAACGTAAACCATATTTGATTCAAAAAATCTTAATTTTTTCAGTTGAAGACTTGCAGTCTTTCATTTAACTATATTACCAATAGAGTTTGTGGTTAATAAGAGCGGTACAATGTCTGGATTTGTTTAATTGAAAGGATATAAGCTAAAATTTAAACATCTGCTTTCGTTCTTTACAGCAAACCCCATGGTACCATGGGTTACCTACCTAGTAGTACATGCGCATGACCTCTACCAAAGGCCGTGGCGAAAGAATCTTCCAACTTTGGTACAGACGACAGCTAAATACTGTGGTATCTTTTGTAATATAGGCTCTATTTTGGCACAAAAATGTATAGTCTGGTGTGATTTACTTCAATAACACATTTGGGTGTACATACTTTTCACTGTTGAATAATTGAAAAACATTACGTCTTCGTGGACAATACGAGTAAGTACCGTCTGTATGATATGTAACGTGTCAGCTTGTAAAGCTACGAACATAAATGCTCTACGCAGCTTCGTCCATCACAAGGCATACACAGGTAATACGAATGTGCGAGAAGCAAAGGAAAGTTATCTGCACTCTACGAAAGTGCTTTGATGGATGTACTGAAAGTTACTCTCCAAGACTATTGAACTATAAAATATTGTACTGTACTAGACAACTTGAGCACGAAGCTATTTACCCAGCATAATACATATAAGAAGTTTGAATTGCATCAAAGTGCTACCCACTTGGTATATTCATCTCTATCAAAGCTAAGATGGACTTATCATAGAATCGGTTTTACGAGGGGCGGCTGAAAAGTTTTGAGCCTAGGCTATTAAAAATGCCGATACAAAAGTATAAAAAATATATTTTTCTATTTAATCTCCCTCTACTACAACGGACTTCTTA